AGGTAATACTTACAAGGAAGAAAATCTGTATATGTGCAGTATAGGAACAATTTCTTTGTAAAACACAAATCTGGTCTACTACCAATTAAATGCGTTGATATGGAACTCCCTGGCACATAGCCTGCTATCTACACACTGGACTGCAATGAATCCAAAATTTATCATTTCAACACATTATCAAACAAAAATTAATGAATTTTTTATACCAAGTCTTCTAAATCAGAAATATGTTCACATACCATCTCAATTCACATGCTAAATTTTAATCAGAAATGTTTGGTTTGTGCTTGTACTTCACAAAACCTTAGTTTAAATTCATTCACATTCTCAAGTTGTTTCAAACCACAGATCATGTGATTGTAAATATAAGCAAAGTCAATTATGATTAAAATTTCAGCTCCTTGGGTATGCCTTTCAAGTACTTCACAGCTACACATAGCTACCAGCTACTGTACTAGACAGACCCTAAGCATCTATTATGTGCAACTGTCAAAACAAATAAGCATCACAGCAGATACTTCAGGATGAGTCAGACATAACATCTGTTTCTGGGTGTGACGGGCAAAGCACAGTATGAGGCACAAATACAACTAGCAATATCTATGAAGATTTTCATGCATGTTAAATACAGAGAAAGAAAAACACTCCAAGAAGAAAATAGAAAAAGGAAGACAGGTAGTGTGGGTCACAAATAGTAGTTATCGCCAGGTGCAGTGCCATATGCCTGTGATCCAGCACTCAAGAGGCTGAGGCAGGGGAATCAGCAAGTTTGAGACCAGCCTCGGCCACAAAGTGAGCTCAAGGCCAGCCTGAACTGCATAGGGAGACTGTCTCAAAAAGATCAAAAAAAAAAAAAAAAAAAAAAAGTAGTTAAAGCATGGCATGTGCCTGGAAGGTGGGAAATAAGGTTTTTTAAAGTAACTGTAGGCACTACTGTGGATAGCAGCAATTAGCAGACTGAAGAATATTCTAAGTGCACTGACAATGCACTCAGAAGCCTGAAAATGCTGCCAGTGAGAGGATGCATCTGAATTGTGCTCTAGAAGGATTCCTTTGGCAATGACGTGAGTGATGGACTGCAGACGAGAGGTTTTGTGGCTAGCAGACTGCTCAGCCACTAGCTAGGCTGATGGAAATACAATGGGGAAAAGGGTGGGGGCGGTGCTAGGGAAGGAAACAAAATCAGAAATTTGATTAAATATGTACATGACATCCTTAGTATGTGGCAATTTTAGGAAGAAGCCAAAGAAAGCTAGGATGAGTCAGTTCTATAGTGATTAAAATGACGCGTACTAAAGAAAGGATGGATGTGAAAAAGCTGTCTCTGGTGTATTTGCATAGAAATGTTCTAAAAGAAGATTGAAATATATGTGCATACGGGTTGGGGACTTTGGCTAGACAGGAAAAGAAGTAAAAAACATTTATAGAGCTGACAGATTAACAGAAAGACAACTGTCTTAAAAGTGATGTACCATTGGCTTTCTGTACCCACAGATTCAACTGACTGGATGAAAACGATTTTTAGAAATAATTAAATCTATTCTGAATGTGTACAGTTTTTCTTGTCATTATCCCCCACATAGTACATATAACAGCCACTTACACAGAATTTACAGATCTACATAAGTGGCTACTTCCATAGCAACACAGCATGTTAGGTATTGTAAGGGATGTAGAAAGGTGTAGAAAGGCAGGGGAGGCTACGCGCGGGTTACATGCCAACACCACACCGCTTCATACGAGGAGCCTGAGCACTGGAGGTTCGCAGAAGGCCCTGGCCCCACCCCTGTGGCCATCAAGGGATGACCCTGTGCTACTGCAACTGGAGGAGGTAGAGGCTGACAAAGTTCCCTTACAGTATTATTCCTTAGGAAGCGAGGCCGCTGCTCTTGAAGTATCCTAAGGGATACAGGAAACTGCCCCAATTACATTTTTTTTTTTTTTTTGTCTTTTTCCTTTTTATCGGTACCGGGGATCGAACTCACGACTGCCTGCTTGCAAGGCAGGTGCTTATGCCGCTGAGCTAAATCCCCAGCCCCCAAATACATTCTTAATAAAATGTTGATAAAATTCCAACTGTATTTAAAGAGGACAGGTGGCTGCGCGCTGTACTGGACAACAAACGGGTGGGAGGGCTCACGCCACGCTGGGAGCTGGTGGGTCACCCCTAGGAGTAAGGCTGAAAGGGCCAGGGCTTTCATGTTTTATATTTTGCTATTATTTGAACTTGCTACAGAGGGCATATTATTTTTACTTCTTCTAAAAAGGAAGAGAAAGGAAAGGATGCAATATGTATTTAGGCACTCAGAATAAAGACTGAAAGGATATATATCAAAAAAAGTCTCTGGGCCATATTTGTTTTCTTATTTGAAAGCCTTTTTATATTTTAAAGTAAATCTATAATATTTCCATAATCAGAAAAATATCATAAAGGAAAATAATCTATAACTCCAAAGGTACGACCAATTTTAAATTTCATTGTGGGGCTAAAATTATAGGGAAAGACGTTCTTTAAAAAGATTGGATCCAATTTCTTTTGCTTTTATGGGGTTCGTGCTTACTTCTGTTGGTGCTGAAGCTATTTCCACTTTTTTTTTTATGATTTCCATTCATTGTAGCCAAAAAGGAAAATCGAGGCCAACCACAAGGCAAGCCTTGCTGCAGGAAGACAAAAAGCCTCTGTAACCTGTGGAATGAAAACTTCACCACTAGAACGTGACTCTTTTGTGACTTCAATTGCTGGTGGACAGAAATTCTGAAGGAGAACAAAGAACACGAGAGGGATTTCAGTGCTGGGTTGTCATTCCAGGGCTGGCAGGCTTGTAACCTTACACCACGATGATGGGAACAAAGAACAAGGTGTCCCATTCACTGAGTCTCCTCAACCAGAGGGTCTCAGGCCCTTGCCCAGCCTTTCATTGGAGTGGAAAAGAAAAGAGACTTCCAAGGAGCGTGAAAGGGGCTAAGAGCGGGTAAATCACCAGCAGCCATCTACACAGTGGCAAAAAACGGGTGGAAGAGATGAAAAGACGCCGTGTGACCATTCACCAATGGCACCCTGAGCACTAAATCAGGGTCTTTTTCTGTCTGATGCAGTTGTTTTTGCTGAACAGTTAGGCATGCAAAGAAATACCAGTTGGGTCTTAAAGACAATTTATAGCCGGTTAGGCTCACTGCACCTGGCTGTTTTGACAGCAGGTTTTGTCAGTTTATAAGAGGGGGATCTTGCCTATGCCATAAGTTGTCACTAATGCAACTAGACTTTTGGGAGGGCAAATGTACAGCTCAGAGGCAAATCTCTCCCTTCCATACACTCTTGCCCCTTTCAGAAAAGGGGGGAAACAAAGCCTCTACTGGGTCAAAACCTCTCCCTTTAGCATGACAGAGCCTGCTCATAGTAAGAGTCAGCTCCAGCCCTCCCCCCCCCCACCACCAGGCCCCAGCCCAGCGGGTTCACCTGCTTCTGGGCACGCAGTTAAGGACTCTTTCTTTTCCCTTCCCTCTGGCCTAATTGCTGCAGAGAACAGCCTTGTTCCAAGCCAGGAAATTTGGGATCTAGGTCTCTGGGCTCCCTCCTCTTTCCAGCTCCCAGGCCACACCAAGAATGTGTGGCAGCCTCCCAAAGGCCCAGCTTAGGGACCCGGCACAAAGGGCCTCAGAGAAGCACCCCACCTGTCCCCAGGAAAACACCAAGGGTAAGGCCTGGCTGTTCACCACCAGACAGACCGTAACTTATTCTCCCTGGACTTTGCTACTTGGTGAGTGGTCTGGCTTGGAAGTCATCTTCAAGAAACCACCGGGCCTCATAACGTGTACGAGTTCACAGCACCGCCTCGCAAGGGAAGTGCTGCCCAGGTTTGTTTTGGTTTTTAATTTTTTCTTCCTCCCAGAAGGATTGGGCCAAACAAATCACATCTCACAGGTGACATGCATTCCTCAGCGGCAGGCAAATCGTCCTTTTAGAAGAAAGAGCTAATGGTAGCTCCAGGCAGACATTTTCCCTCCCGTGTGGTGAGAAAAACAAAGACATGAGCAGAGGGAGGAAAGGTAAAGAACAGCCCTCCTGTTCCTTCATTTCATGGGTCACAGACGTTCACTGACACTCAGACACTCCCAAGGGGAAGCTCAAGTAACCAGTCATGAAACCAGAAACCAGCAGGCTTGGGGCTGCTGGCTGAGCTCCCGCAGGACTCTCCTGACCATGGAGGTCCACTCCAGCCGCTGAGGCCCGCTGCCCTGGAGGCCACCCTTGGACCTCCCAGTCCCAGACTCATGCCAGGGTGAGCATCTGGGAGGCTGAGGGGCCTGAGCTGCCCAGGAGGCTCTGAGAGGAGCAGAACCTGGGTTAAAAGGCGGTGGGGAGGGGAGTCTGGGTCAGGCAATTCCCATGGGTGGGCCCAGGGCTGGCCAGCAGACATTTCTACTCAGAGTCATCATAGGTAAAAAAGGAAGAGGAGAACAAAATCTTGAGGAGGGAGTGTAGGACCTTAAGACAGAAAAGTGGCTCTAACTGGGTCATCTAGGAAGAGACGCCGGCCTGAAACCTCAGCGGGGACAGGTGAGAGGCACCTGGGAAAATAGAGGGCAGAAGCCACTGAACCATGGGTCGGACAAAAGCTCAGCAAACCAGATCACCTGTTTGTTTGGATACATCCAAAGAGCAGAGCTGAGGCCAGCTGCTCAAACACCAGGGCACTGAGCAGTTGCCTGGTGACTCCAGCCAAAACACACACACTGCTTTACAAGTGCTCATTGGACACACATGTTCACCCATGTACCACGGTCACTTCAGACCGGGGCCACAGGCTCACCCCGTGACGGACAGGCTGCAACAGGGCGGGGAACCTGGCATCTTCCTGATGTGTAGATAGATCCAGCTTGGGAAAGTCACCCCCTTTACATACAGACACAGATTAGAAAGTTCCTGTCACAATTGACAGGCTGAACAGCAAGCTTGACTTTGGCCACCAACCCCCCTAAAGCAGGCACCCTGAGTGTACCTTTGGGATTCCGGAGCTCTCAAGCCAGTCTTGGAAGATGTTTTCAACAGACAGCTCCAGCCTTTAGAAATAAAACAACCAAAAGCAAAGGATTAGAAAGTTACAGAGTGCTGAAGAGAACACTCCTCTATCACTGCTCAGGAGCTTCACAGCACCAGCCATCAGAGAAGAGCAGTGGTCTGGGGCAGGAGCAGTGGGTTAAAGTGATGGAAGTGATGGAAGGGCCCTGTCAGAGGAACAGGGCTTCTCTTCATCTATCTCTGCACACTGAGATCAGAGTCGCAGGAACACTGGGATAGGTGGCTCTAATGCTCTGAAAGGAACTCTGGGGTGGGAAAGTTAATTCAAGGGGAATAAGACATTTCCACATCAGCACGCTGCTTCCTGGATGGCGGAAGAGCTGAGCGGCACCTGAGCACTGCAGTGTTTAATGCAGCAATGTGAAAGGTGAACTTTAAAGTAACGATGGGCTGCAACGTGCAAAAAGAAGACACATCGCTGTCAGACTACAGAGAGGCTCTGGCGCAGGAAAGAGCCTGGCTTCTTCCACTCTTTGTGCTGAAGCAAGCCCACGCCAACCTGCCTGACATGCAGCACTGTGCTGTGATTGCTTGATACGTTAGCTGAAGCTATTTTGCTCTCCTACTCTGACGGGTTGCCTACTCCTTAAAATGATGAAGTAGCCAACATCTTCAGGGTCCACAGACCTTAGGTTGCATCTTCTTGTCTTCCTTGGCTAATGCAGTTCAATGCAAAACCGTTCCCTTCCACAGCCTTCCAGTTACTTCCTGCTCTCCTCCTGCCTGCATTTACAGTGAGGCTCCTGGACTCCTCCCAGGCGAGGCCAGGCCTCCTTCCCGTGCCTAACATCCATCTGCTCCCAGTCCTCTTTGTCACAGCATCCGTTGCAGTTTGCATCAGTGAGTTATTTGATTGCTTCAATCTTAGTGTCTCCTCGTGACATCTAATACCATTACTTACAACAGTTTCCAGTATACAAGAGCACACAGACATTTTATGTGTGAATGAATAAAATACCTTTCACTGTAGTCACAATAAAAATACTCCTTTTTATATCCAGAGATTTTTTTTTTTTTATCGGTACCGGAGATCAAACTCACGACCCCCTGCTTGCAAGGCAGGTGCTTATGCCGTGGAGCTAAATCCCCAGCCCCCTCCTTTTTAAAATAATATTCACCTCTCCCAAAAAGATAGTTCCAAGTTGTTAAGCTCTGGATCTTTTTCAAATGTTTCGGTAAATATACGTTATGTATGTCTACCCACAACTCCTTCCTTCTGCAAGCATGGAAGAAGCTATGGGGAGAGCGCTATCTGCAGTGTCCCTGCCCTGCAAGGCCAGGCACCTCCCTAATGGGCATTACAGGCAGTGCTGTAGGAGGAAGGCAGGGAGGGGCCGCAAGGAGAGAGGCCACCTGAATTCCTCCTCTTGTCACAGGCACACCTTTTTTTCCTCAGCTGGACAAAAGCAACGGTGGTACAAGGAGGCAACTGTTCAAAACAGAAAAATACACCCAGGGAAAGAAAGTTATGCAGACAAGGGTGTCCAGGTCCATAGTGTCACAGGCAGCTGAGTTAGACAGAAATATTACAGGCAGGCAGACAGGGTTGGGCTCTCAAAGGATAAAGAACCAGTGCAGAAGTCCTTGGAGGAGACCCATAGCTCCCACTGTGGGCCAGATCTCAAGACAAAGACAAAACAAATGCAGCCACAGTAAACACTGGGGATTCTAAATAGGTATCAATCACCTTGAGGAAGCCAGGAGCCATTAACCCAACCCCTTCCCAGCAAAGACCCTATTCTATATTCCTGTCCCCTTGCTACATGACTCGTTTCCCCATTGGCTCACAATTTCATCAATTTTACCTAAGCAATTACACTTGTAATGTTATTGGTTGACCATAATTCTGTCCTACCTCATGCCCGCCTGCCTTGTGGGTCATTTTTTCTTTCTCTTGATAAATACATTCTGATCTTAACCTCCATTGTTCCTAAAGTTCCTTCTTCCATTTTAAAGAACATGTCGTACCAGACATCTAGTAGGCTGAGAGTTTCTTTCCCCTATATCAATAGGAACAATCAGGTCCCTCTGCCAGACTAAAGGAGGGAAAAAGGGGAGGCACAAGAGGGCAGAGGGGTGACAATGACCTCCCTCGGTCCTCCAGAATCACTGAAATTCCCTGGATGTGGCACCGCCACCAGGCCTTTCTACTATATGTCACTTAACAGTGCCAATGGGTACCAGTGGCCACTCTCCCTGCCAGCTGGGTGTGGAAATATGTGCTCATGAGTACGTGGATGTATGCACATGTGGGGGGGGGGGGTTAAGAGCCAAGGAGAGTTGACTGACTTTGGAAAGGGCTTGGAAATATGCTGGCTTGACATAATCAATCTGCAGGAAGGGAAAGTGGGACTGACTGGCCACTTAGCAAGCAGCACACTGAAGAAGCTCAGGGAAGAGAAGATGCCCTCGCCTCAGATCAGGGTAGGCAAGATAGATACACACCAGAACCCTCCAGGCTGGGCGAAGCAAGGGGCAGGGGACAAGAGCCCTCCATCCAAGGCAGTGTCCTCCCAGGGCGCATGTGCAGGACAAGGCGGGCAGTGTGCGTCTGTTTCTAACAAGAACAGGCCTTCCAAATGGACTACTACTCGACAATAAAGAATGACAAATTTGAAACATTTGTAAGAAAATGGAGGCGCCTGGAAAATATAATGTTGAGTGAAATAAACCAGACACACCAGCTTAAATACCACATGGTATCTCTCATTAGAGGCAGAGTACAAAGAATAATGAAGGGTGGATGGAAGGGGAATAGGAGATGGATCTTGGAATAGGGAAGAGGTCCAAGGGAGCAAGGGCGAGGGGTGAAGAGGAGGGGAAGGGGAAATAAGCAGAATAAAGATGCACCATGTGCAGGAACTTTGTAAACATTATACGTCTTAGCATGAGCTAACAGTTGATTAACAGTATCAACAAGAAAGAAAATAGAAATGGGGAATTAGAGGAGGAGGGAAGGAGTGGGGAGGGAAAGCGATAGGAAATGAGCTATAGTATGTGCACGCACCACTCCCCAAGATGACCATAAACATGATGTACTGCAAACATACACTAATAAAACTTTACAAGTGAGAAAAAGGATAGGCCTTCCACGGAGCAGTCTTGCTTTTTATGTAAATTTAAAACTCAGTCTTACACTAGAAAACAAAACAAAATCAAGTTTCCCTGGGTAGGAACCTGTCTCTCTGGAGAGGGACACACCTGTGCCTGCAGCTCTGTGGCAAAACTTCTGCCACTTATTTTTCTAGAAAGGCCTACTTCTGGACTGAAGTTTGCTGCACATGGTCTCTTTAACACCTCCACAGTGTAAGAAGAAGACGCAGCACCCAGAAAAGGCTTAGAAAGCGCACCAGTGATGATCAAAGGGGCAGGCACACTGCATTCATGAGTGAGGTCAAGGAAACCGGATTAAATGTCCTGAAAAAAGACGGCTGAGGAATGACTTAATTGCCATTTTTGAGATGGTGAACAGCTGTTGTGCATCACCGTGGAGTAGTGAATGAGGACACGGACATAAATCTCTTCGGGGAATTTTCACTTAAAGATGCTTCTCCAAGTGGCATGGGAGAAGGGCTGAGGAGTGGAGCCCTGGAATGCTACTCACTGAGGTCCAAAGTCCTCATCAGAGAAGGCTGAAGAACAGGCACACATCTTTATCCCTGTGGTAAGCATCCAGCCAACACCTCCTCAGCCCAGCTCGAAAAAAACTGCCAGGCTGTGAGCTCCAGGGAGTGACTCTGAAGGACGGCACAGACAGAGCAAGTGGTGTCTGCAGGGGCAAGGACCCCATGGGGGTGGGACATGAGGAGAGGATGGCAAGGGGCTCAGAGACAGATTCTGGGAGGAGGCGGAAGGACGCTGTGGAGTAAGATGCTGCCCTCCCACACCCTCGGGCCCGATGGGCAGAGTGGCATGCAGAGCAGGGAAGGAGCGCGGGGGACCTCAGGGCTGTGTCCTTCAGAGGATGATAGAAGCAGGAGTGGCTGGAAGCAATGAGAAGAGGCCCACTAGACGTGGAGGGCCAGGGGATGGTGTGTGACCTCAATCTCTGCAGGGTGACTTTCCATAGAAAGTATATGACTGCACACAATTGGCCTGTGTCCATCTGTGGCCAACTCTAAGGTTTTGTTTCTTGTTAACTATGAAGGCAAATTCTGCTTTTCCATAGGTAGCATTTGCAAATACTACTGTATTATGCAGTGACATGAAAAACAAAACAAAAACTCCTTCATTTACTGCCAAGTAAAGGCATCTAAATGGTAGCTACTGTTTACCGAATGCCTGTGATGTACTGGACACTACAGCTCAAATCTCACTTACACTACAGCATCTATGCAAGACCTCTACTATCACCCTCATATTAGAGTTGATTGAATCAATAGTCTGAGAGGCTGAGGAGCTTATCCAAAGCCACACAGAAAGTACTTGGAGAGCTGGGGTACAAGCTACATTGCCTATCAAGCCCCAGCTTTTCTGTCTGTGCTAAACTTAGGCCTCAGAATGAGCAGGGTTTTGTTACAATGCAGATGAATTTGCAGAAGCTGAGAGCTTGAGCTTGCTCCCGACAAGGCAGACTTTCCTTTCTCACCAACAGCTCTCTTACTATAGCTGCCCTTTTTGGCCGGCAGCTTCCGTTATGGTTTTGGAGTGATAGGGAGACCCTTGAGGGGGCAAAGCATAAAGCGTGTGGGCAAGAGCACTCCTCCTTCAGCTGCATCCAGGAGCAAAACCCATTACCCACTTGAAGGGAGCAACACGTGTTTTCAGATCACTTTCCTTTAGAAAGGTTCAAGGCATCTTATAACCATTATCACTTCACTCCTCATAATATCCTTGTCAAGTGGGTGTCAACTGCTGCACTGGCATTTTAGCAGATGGAGAAACTGTAGCATAGGAGGGTTCTAGCCAAAGTCAGCACAGACTGAGGGCTAAAGAAAAAATTCCCAGTTTCTAAACTTCAGTATCCATGTAGACATCACCC